CCAGAGCTTGCACCAACTGACTACTGCTTCTTCTAGGCTTTGGACCACTTCTTTCAAGGAAAGATACTCAATTCTCAACAAGCTGTGGAAAATGCCTTTGGCAATTTCATCACCACTTTCTCTCCAGGCTTCTTTGGTGCTGGCATAAACAAGCTACCAGTTAAGATGCTGAAACTATGTTAACAGTTTAGGTGTGTACTTTGATTAATTGTACTACTTCTTATTTGAGATATAATAAACTACACTTTTGAATCAAAATCGGACATTTCATATTTAATGACCCCCCCCCCCACACACACACACAATGGGATACTATTCAGCATTAAAAACAAGAAAATTCTGTCAGTTGTGACAACATGAACGAACCTGGAGGACATTATGGTAAGTGAAGTAAGCCAGGCACAGAAAGATAAATACCACATGAACTTATATGTGTAATTCTAACAATGTCGAACTCATAGAATCAGAGAGTATAACAGTGGTCACTAGAGGCTGGGGGATGCAGGGTTTGGGGTGAGGTTGGTCAAAAGACACAAAATTTCTGTTAGGAGGAAAAAGTTCTAGAAATATTGTACACCATGGAGACTATAGTTGATAACATTGCTAAGAGTATTATTTTAGGTGTTCTCACCTCAAAAAAATAAGTATGTAAGGTAATTCATATGTTAAATAGCATGACTTAGTCATTCCACAACATATACATACATACAATTTTTACTTGTCAATTAAATTTTTTTTAAAAAATTTACTCTTAAGCTGACTCTGAACCACTTGACTGAGAAGAAATTATTACCCAATGTAGTCCATGGGCTGAAGTAGCTGAGCATGTGAGAATTGAGGTAAAGGCAAGATTTTGCTGTCCACTGACCTTTTTCTTTTTAATTTTTATATTTTCACTCTCTAGAATCCACAGCTTTGATCTCAGGAAAATAAACTGACTCAGTCTAAGATGGGCTTACTCAAGGAACTAAAAAATCTAGAAGAAACTTCCTATTTGATCATTATTTATCTTCATATAAAGTGTCCCCAAAAGTCAAATAGAGTTGTCATACAATCAACTAAAACATAAAATTATTTGAAAAATATGGTCAAGAGGCATGATCCTTTATAAACTGCTCAAAAATACCGTGCACACCAGGTCCATCCTCTTTGTTTAATGTGCTTATAACCAAATCTGACATTAGACAAGAGAGGGGCACAAACAGAAGTATTTTCTTTGAATTTTCATGTGAAGAAACCCTGAGCCATCTTCTGCTAACAGCTCAAACAAGAAAAGCAACCCTGTGCACATAATGTATGAACAATTTCTCCAGCCTTGTACACTTACAATCTCAAACTGGTACCTTCTCACAACTGGTCATGTAAGCAATTCTCACTGGGTGCAGAAAGGTTTATAGAAAATATCGTTAATTAGCACGCCTATCTATCCTATGACACTGGTTGTAGTTATAAAATTTCAAAATAAAAAATACAAAAGTGAAGTTTTGTTGTTGCCTAGTTTTGGCCACAAGCCTAAAAAGTTTATACTCTGTAACAACTTCATAGCTTCACTAAATTTATAGCATCACTTGGTTCTGGGTTACAGACAAAAAAGTTTTCCAATCCATTATGTTAAGAAACTTTGGAGACTAACTACTTGGATCTCCTGGCTTATTGCCTTACTTTCACCTAATCCAGACAAAAATGCTTCCATTCAGCCCTTTAAAATATCTTAACTATTACTACCTTTTCTGAAGTAGCAGTTATTAGCTAAGAGGTCTTATAAAAGGAACTAGAAAAAGGAGGCAAGCCAATGTCAAAAACCAGGCCATGCAACATCAAACAGGTTATGAATGAGGCGTTTCAAACCCCTCTCTTTCAAGGTGTGACACTGACCTTGGATTAGCTTTCTAGCTTGGTTCCCCTGGAAACCTGATGACGGTAGACCATCAGCTGTGTGATCAGGAGAGCCTACTTTTGGTACAACGCCCTGGGAGGTATCCCTGTCCAAGTTGGGAGGGCCATGAGTGAATGTAAACACATGCTACATCTTGGATGTAGACACATCTTGGGCTACATGTGCTACACACATGCTTGGGCTAAACACATGCTACACATGCTACATGTGCTACACACATGCTTGGGCTAAACACATGCTACATCTTGCATGTAGCCACATCGTGGAGCCACATCTTGGGCTCCACAAGTGCAGTATACTACTCTACTCGTTCCTAGGTCCTGTCCCTGGCCAGGACCCAGAGGGATCCCGTATACACAAGGAAATGTTAAAGAGGGAGTGGTCCCTTATGGCTTCTAAAGCCACGGTGACTCCTGCACTCTTTTGTGTAGTCTGTGAGAACTGCTGTGGTAATTTCCACAGAACTGTGCCTAAAGCTGCCTTCTGGTAAGCTGTCTTGCCTGTCCCACATCCTTCAGAGTAAACTAGTAACCGATGTGGCCTTTTCAGGTCTTGGAAGTTTGCACAGTTAAACCCAACACCAGCTGTGATGGGTGTTGCACAATCACTCAATAGTGTCTTGAAAGGCAACCCCATCCCACATTAGCACCAAACAGGCATAGACATAGTTACAAAAAGGGTATGGGATTAGAACCAATGAAGCAAAGCTTTAAAAATGGTTTTAAGATCCTCAAAGGTATCACTGATCTTTAGGGCTGAGAATAGCAAATATAAAGGGATTAAATTTAAGTTAACATTTTTACCAAACTTAGTTATTTCTAAATCAAAGAGCAAGGTACAGAGGGAGGAAATTTGCTCACAGGCAAGGAGATGTGGCTCTTGTTCTGACTGTGCACTGTGTGGTCATGGATAAGGTGCTTCTCCCTACAGATGTCACTGTCTTTATATGGAAGAGGAAGGGTAAGGGCAGCAGGGGGAAAGTATAAATTTGGAAGAATGTTATATAACAGCTAGAGGAAAGAAAATATCAGTTTGGCTTGTGTTTTAAAATGTCAAAAAGAACACCCATAATTCTAGGCTTTTAAAATGATAACTAAAACTTTTTTTCTCTGTTGGTCTTAGTTAACAATGTTTCATTTCTCAACATACCTGAATATTCATCAGCCTCACAGCCTCTGTGTCAAACAAGTTGTACCTAATAAAATAATACTCTCAGTTAACCCCAGGTAATAAAATGCTATAATCTTTGACGCCATATACCATTTTTGGTAATCTATTCTCAGGAAAAATACAAGAAATAAATATAAAATATAAGAAAAAGCCTTATATAGAAACATAAACTGATAAATTATTCACTTATGATAAAGTTTTTAAAAACCCGAATATCTACTTATAAAATGACAGCTCCCTATGGTTCACCACCCATTAGAATACTAATATGAAACTAGTAAAAGCCGGGCGCGGTGGCTCACGCCTGTAATCCTAGCTCTCTGGGAGGCTGAGGCGGGCGGATTGCTCGAGGTCAGGAGTTCAAAACCAGCCTGAGCAAGAGTGAGACCCCGTCTCTACTATAAATAGAAAGAAATTAATTGGCCAACTAATATATATACAAAAAATTAGCCGGGCATGGTGGCGAATGCCTGTAGTCCCAGCTACTTGGGAGGCTGAGGCAGAAGGATTGCTTGAGCCCAGGAGTTTGAGGTTGCTGTGAGCTAGGCTGACGCCACGGCACTCACTCTAGCCTGTCTCAAAAAAAAAAAAAAAAAAAAAAAAAAAAAAAGAAACTAGTAAAATGATGTTAATGCAATAGCATTATACAATAAGCAAATTTTACGTTAAGTGAAGAAAATAGGATTAAAATTATAAAGACAATCATTTCAACTGTTTTAAAAAAAACCTATGCATAAAAAAAGAAATGGAAGACATAGAAATGTTAATGAGGGGGCTGCAAATAGAACTTAAAGTCTTTTTTTCCTGTTTTCTAAATTTTCTTAAATGAGCATCTGTTTTATAATGGCAAGCAATTATATTGAAGTTGCATTTCCAACACATCTGTTACTCAGTATCAAGTTTTGTAATCAAACTTGCCCATATCCTCTCTTAGTATCATATCATAATATTAAGGTTGAAAATATTATGTCAAATTAGGATGGTTATGTTATTCTGAAAATGTAAACCACTATAACAGAAATAATCTGGCACAGGCAAGATTTAAATATCTTTCGTTTCATTAATAGAGCCTAATACTATTCTTGACACATACTGGATGTTCATAAATATGTTAATTAACTTAATTTTTGTCCTGTAATTCATATATCTAAAGAGATTTGTTTCTTCATATTTCTTGCAATTACCTAAGCATTCATATATAGACTCATGGACTTAAGCTAACACAAAATAAAGATCTTTGGAGCAATTCATTCCTGTTTTAATATTAACAGAGAAATTTTGTACCAATATTCTTAACAAAATAAAGTTAGAGGAAAAATAGCAAAATATCTCAAGATGATTATAAACCTCAAATTCTAAATTATGGGAATTTAAAGTTATAAAAGAAAAACTGAATCAAGAAACTTTTGGTATCTTTTTGATTAACTTCTCAATTGTTCACTTATCTGTATTCCTTTCAAAGAGATTTTGTGTTGTTTTTACAAATATAAGAAGTTCTTCAAACATACTAGTTATATGTACAAGTAAATAAACTTTACAAATATGTGAAAAGACCCATGTTAACCGTAAAGAAAAGGCTATTGTCTGAACATTTGTTTCACTCCATAGTTTGTATGTTGAAATCCTAACCACCAAGGTGATGGCATTAGGTAGGACCTTTTGGCAGGTAAGTTCATCATGAGGACAGAGCCCAAAGAAGCTCATACATCCCCTTCCTTCATGTGAGGACACAGTGAGAAGGTACAACCTATGAACCAGGAAATGAGTCCTCAGCAGCCACTGAATCTGCGGATGCCTTAATATCAGACTTCCCAGCCTCCAGAACTGTGAGCAATAAATTTCTATTGTTTATAAGCTACCCAGTCCATGGTATTCTGTGATAGCATCCCAAACGTATTAAGACAAAAGAGTAACATGAAAAAAGTGCTGTGCCAGTTTTAACATTACTCTTTTAATATCATGAAGTACAAAACATTGTTGTACAAGTATACTTTTTATTACATTGAGATGGAATAATATATTTGTGTTTTTACCAGAATCTCTATCACTCAGTACTAGCCATTGTACCAATGGCTTTCCACAGGGATTTTTTTTACTATTCCTATGAGGTTATAATCATGAATAAAAAAGCTCACAACTCTTTTCAAACATTGTAGATTTACATTTATCTTAATATTCCTGTTCAAGATGCTTTGGAGTACTGTTAATAAATACAAAATCACCTTAGCAAAGCGTTTTGAATGGGTAATATTACTTCACATTGGCCATGATCTCCCTTATGTTGGCATTGCAAAGACACTGTGCACTTATTTGAGGTTAGAAAAAGTGTTGTCTTAATAGCCCTCTTACTGTGTAGGAAGGCAAATTACCATTTCCTGAAAAGTCCAGAATATCATAATATATAGCTATTGGTTAAGCAGTAATCCACAAACCCCATTTACAGAAGACAACTGCAATAGAGGACCATTAAATCCCCCATGTACCAAAGGAAAACAATTTACAAATATTCAAACTGTGTTTCCCCTACCTCTAAAATGGTTTAACCACACCACGTGAGAATAACATCAGCCAATAAAGAAAAAGAAAAAGAAGAAGTAAACTGTGCTTGTGTCCAGCATTCACTTCTATAGCATACCTCACAGTTTTCGGCCATTTCACCTAAGAGTTTTCATATGACAGACAAAAATAATGATGAAAAGCAGCATCAATTTTGCTGGGAAATGTGAAAAAAAATACTGCTAATTTCATAAAATATTTGAAACTTATTTTGTTTGTATAAATAAATAAAATGATGTTTACTTTTTAAAATTTTTAATCACCTTGCTGTTAAATCATCATTCAAAGTTATGACAATCTTTAAGGATAAACAGGGTATTTAAAATAATACGTCTTGAAAACTGAACCACATTTTTAATTGCCAGCATTATGCTTTGTTCTTGGTAGGATCATCTTTGTTTCTTCTTTTTACATCCCAATTATAAACTCTGGCCATATCTGCAAGAATTGTCAAAGAAAATGCAAATTCAATTCTAAAGATAACATATACAATGACTATACATTCACACAATGAATCAACAACACAGAAATCATACATATAGAAATACTAGTTAATAACTAGTGTTTTAACACATATTGCTATAATGTCAATTACTAATTAAATACAGGAATTCTACGAAAACCAAGTCAAGGCCTCAAATCAACAGCTGTTTAACACATCTAGTCAACTACAGTATTATCTTTAACAAATATATGATAGATACACTCTCAGAAGTTTTAAAGACAGTCCTCCATCTATGAAATTTCAAAGATCATTCAACCCATATTCTGCCATGTAATATTTAAATTAGTATAATTATCAATAATTTTATTTCCTATCCTCCCTTTGATATAACAGGGCATTCATTGAGTTTATTAAGCATCTACTGTGTTTCTGACTAGGCACTGTACAAAGCCTTGAGTAAGACAGGTAAAGTTTTTTCTTTCATGGAGCTTAGACTCCAGAAGAACAATCAGTATAGTAGAGATTGGATGCCCTAACTCCCTCAAATGTCTGCACACCTTCCTACCTTTTCCAGCATTAGCTGTAACAAATGGCATTTCTCTAAGCTTGTAGGACAGAGATGATTTCCTTTCTTGGGCTCCTGTAAATATCTAAGTCATTGGATTCTATTTTTCTCTCATATTTAATATCTTTTCCTTTCACACATACCAGCCTTCCCAGGCCCTCATCATCTCACATCTGGATGAAGTCTCTACATTACCTGTCAGATAATGATCCCTGCACTAGGCCCCAAAAGGCCTGCCTTCCCTCACCAAAGTACTAAATACCTGGCACAAGCTAAACTAGAGAGAGAAGAAAAAAAGTACAGCTCCTACACTTGAAGAGCTAACAGTTTAGCAAAGGAAACAAAGGAGTATGTGCAATGTGCTAAGTATGTATAGAGGAACAAAACACCCTGAGAGAATTAATTAGAAGATGTTCATGACTGTCCTAATGCTTGAAGTGAGATAAGAAGGGTTAAAAAGGAGTACCCCATGTAAATAAGAGGAAATTATTCCAGGTAGGGGAAACAAAGTGTGGAAATGCAGCAAAGGTTTGGCACATTTGGGAGGTGAGAATAACAGATTGGAGTTATCTGGAACCTAGAGTGCACTGGAGAAGAGCCAGAGCAGGAAGAAGACAGTAGCATAAGGTGAGCACTGGCTGGAGATACTTAACAAGAGTGCTCATATAAACACCTTGCATCCAACAAGAAACCACTGAAATATCATAAAGTAATAAAAATAAGATGCATGACTTACTAAATTCATGCTGGAGCTAGTGTGAGGAGAGACCAAAAAACTACTCAGTACATGTTCTGGAGACCCAGAACAAGAGGCCCAAAACATGAGTAACAGCAATGGGCAGAGATTTAAGAGGGAAATTTGACAAGAATCTGGTGATTGGTTCGCTCTTGGTAGTGAGGAAGAGAGAAGTATGAAGGATGATTTCCATGTTTTTGTCTTGGGTGACTGTGACAGGAACTAGGAGAAAGAGACAGGTCAGGGGAGAAAGGCAAAGAGCTTGGTTTCAACATGCCTGCCCTCCCCCTTGACCAGAATACCCTACCTCTACCTCTTCTCTCTGCTGCTATAAATCATACACTGCCTTTAAAAACAGCCTATGTTTTCCCATTCCAAGATATACTGGAAAAAAAAGAAAAGAAAAAAAAAGTGGAAAAAAAACAGCCTAAGTTTTATTTTCTTAATAAAACCTTCTTTGAACTAATTCACATCTTTCCCAAATTTTAAATTGCCTTGGTTTTGCATATGTGAACTTGCCTATAGTTTGCTATGAAATTATCATTTAGCTGTTTCACATGTACAGTTCTAACAGAGACAGACTACCATTTTTTTTTTCTTCATTGATTTCCGTGCCCCATATGGCTTAGCACAGTTGAAGAAGAAAGGAGACCCTTAATAAATGCTTGTGAAATTAAACTACTTGACTAGCTATAAAGGTATTGTGAACTGAAATAAAATCTTAAGCCCCCAGCCAACTGAATGGATCCCCTCTTGGCCAAGGGAACCCCCCAAAAACCTAAAAGCTGAGTTACCAGCCATGAGAAGAAGGGAGGTCAAACACGTCTAGTTATGCCCTGACCCTTTTGGAGTTATTTTTTATAACAATAAGAAATTAAATCATTAACAGGCCTGAGGCCATGCAAGGTGATGCTTAAACCACACCTGCAGTCCATCAATTTACTTAACAGATCACTTGAGTTTGAGTTTTAGTAAATGTCTGACTTGTCTCTGATTAACAGACATCCTTAAGTTAAAACATTCCAAGCCTTCAGATAAGGCTTCATTTCCTTAACCAATTACAAGTAAAAGAATCTTTAAACCCACCTATAACCTATAACCCCTCACTTCAAGATGTTCTGCCTTCTTGGGCCAAACCAATATATGCCTTCCAAGTATTGATTTATAATTTATGTGTAATTCCTATTTCCCTGAAATGTATAAAACCAAACTGTAACCCAACCCCAGTGGGACCACTTGCTCACAGCGTGGCTCTCCAGGCCATGGTCACATATGTTCAGCTCAGAATAAATCTCTTTTAATTATTTTACAGGGTTTGGATTCTTTTAAGAAAATATTTGGAAGAAAACACTCATTCACCAATGTGAATTTATTATTTCTACAACTTCACATTTCAAATTTATAAATCTATTTATAAACTTATTTAAATATTTGCTCAAAATACATTATTTATCAAAAAAAACCTGCAACCTCACATTAGCCTAAGAACAAAATAAGGACCTTCTTTCCAGTAAAGCAATGCAAGAATGTTTTTTTAAAGAATCCTTTTCCTTCCTTCCCTCTGCCTTTTTTTAAAGAAAGGATACTGACTTCTGTGGTAGTAAATTGATCTCGAAGAAAGTCAAGGTCTTCCTCAAGAGAATCAAGATTCTTTGTGGCAGTCGATAAATTCTTTTCCAACAGTGCCTGAGCTTCATCAATATCATATTCAAGCATTACATTAGCCTGAAGAGAGAAAGTCATGACAATTACTCAACATTTACACAGTGCTTGATAGGTAAGAGCAAGTATTGGCAAACTATATTGCTGCCAAATCCAGCCTATTGTCTTTTGCTGTGAGTTAAGTTTTATCAGAATCCAGCTACTCTCAAGTCAGTTGTGCTTTCATGCCACAGTGACACAGAGATGAGTAGTTGGGGCAGAGACCATGTGGTCTGAAAAATCCAAAATATTTACTATTTGACCTTTTACAGAAAGTTTGCTCACCCTTTGGTTACAGAATAAGTTGACATACATTGTGCCATTTATTCCTCAACTCTGGTGAGGCAAAAGTTATCTTCTTTATAGTTAAGAAAATATTCAATGAAAAGTATCTCTCTCCAGTCCTGGATCCCCAATCTCATTCTTCAGGGTCAATTACTACTGTTTCCTATGATTTCTTTTCCAGAAGTTTTCTAGATTTTGGTTACTTCTTACAAGTAAAAAGAATATATTTAAAAACACCTCATTCATGTCAAAAAACATTCATCAGTCATTCAAATATCCTATGTATGCCAAGTATTTCTCCTTAGCTGGCTGACTCCTCAAACACTGCTTTCTCAAGCTATCCACCTGACAGACAGCTTAAGATTGACATGCCTAAAACACAACTCCAAGTCACCCTGCAAACTTGGCTCCTGCCCTGTTATTCCCCAGTTCAGTAATGGCACAGTTATCCACCTTATGACTCAAATACTAGGGGTCATCCTCCTCGGTTTCTCTTTCCCTTGGCCCACACTTCATCCACACATGAGGACAAGATAATTCCATAAATGAGGCTCTCTGGTAAGAGGTACAGCTGGAGCCCACCTTACACATCACATGAAGATAACACATTTACATGGACTTAATGACACCATCAAAGTACCAGGCCAAGTCATAGATGAATCATTTTGTAAACCTAGGATAAGGACAGCTTTTCTAGGATACAAAACCCAGAAACCATAAGCAAAGTCAAAAGACAAACAATGAACCTGAAAAATATTTGTAACTCATATCATAGGCAAAGGGCTGATTTTTCCAAATATATAGAGCTCCACAAATCTTTTGTAACCAGCACCATGAACATACACACACACACACACACACACACACATATATATATATGTATATATATATTTTTTAAATCCCTTCCCTTAACTAACTACTTGACCTTTTGAGTTGTTTTCCAGAAATGGTGGATTCTCTGCTAGACAAAGTAGCTGAGATTCTGAAGGCCCCTGGGCAGACTACCACACCACTCCCCACAAACTGCCCAAACTTTGGGCAGTTTGTGGGGAAGAGGATAGCCCCTTGTTAGTTACACCACAACCTACAGTGACCTAAATTCGGGGAGATGGATTTAAGGCAGCTTCTATCATTCTCCCAATGTAACAGAGGTAAAGGCCTGAAAAGGGTAAAATGTACTGTAAGTTGTCTCTTTAAAACCACCCCTACTCTTTTGGGGAATTAAAATCTGCATTCCTGCCCGAGGCCAGTAATCAGAAGTGCAGAGGAGCGTTCTTTGTTTTATAGTGTTTTAAACCACAGGAGATGGCTCAATGGTATTGTCCAGGCAAAGGTCATGAGCACTGATAATGTCAACCAGAACCACCAACCATAGTTAAACAACAATAGCCAAAAGTTGAAAACCTTCCTTAAAAGCTCTGCATTTCTGCTTAAAGAGAGGACAATGTTTCTTTAAGAGGACAGTCTGTCATCCTCCTCATCTGCCAGCAGGTTAATAAACTTCTCTTTCCTTTTCTTCAAACTACTTATCCTGGTTATTTGTTCTTGGCCACAGAGACAAGTACTGAACTTTCGGTAGCACCAACAAGATGTCTTTCGTATTAAAAAAATCCTTTTTTCCTTGGCAATCCTCCTTGTCTCAATAATTCGATCTTTGTGTGACCAGCAACAGGACCTAGGCCAAAACCCCCTTGTGATTTCAATAACACTTTAAGTAAAAGGCCATTAGTCCATAACCCAATAGCAAAACAGGCAAAACAATATAAGCAGAGTTCACAGTAAATAAAAATAGCTCAATCATTATGAAAAGATGCTCAACTTCAGTCACATACTAAAAGCAACACAAATTGAAAATAATGTGAAAAGACATTGTTTGCTTTCAGACTGACACAGATTTAAAAGTTTGAAACACACTATGGTACCATGAAGATGAGAATATGGGCATTAAAATATTGGCAGTGAAAACTGGTGGTCTCTGTGGAGAGCAACTTGGCAATAATACATGAAAATCAGCCCATTGAGCAGGCAATTCCACATACTATGCAGTTACACATTTATGCAGAATACATATGGACTAGAAATACTGCTATAACATCTGCAAAAACAAAACCCAGAACCCAAATGTCCATCAATAGGGGACCTGTTAAGTATATTATGGCATATCCTCACAATTAGCTGTTATGGAGGAATGGAAAATAACGACGAGATGCTTTCCTCATGCTGATATACAAAGATCCTCAACACACACTGTGAAGTGAAAATGGCAAAGGGCAGAACAGTACACACATTATGTCACAATTTGTGTAAAAAAGGAGGGAGGAAAGATATAATCTTATTTGTCTATGTATGTCTAAAATATCCCCAGAAGGATACCAAGAAATGAATGTTAATTGCTTAAGAGGAGAGTACATAAGGCTAATGATGGGAGATATGCTTTTCACAGAATATTCTTTTGTATCTTTTTAATTATAAACCAGGTAAATGTATTACCTAGTCAAAAACTGTATTAAAAACAAACAAACAAACAAAAAACTAACAAATAAAACTCTGTCCCCCAAAAGAAAAAGAAACTAATTTGAAAATGGTTTATCCAACTACATACGGATTATTGTACAACCATTCAAAAGTGAATGGAAAACCAGCAAAAGAAGGTCAGTTCCTGCCACTTCTAAAACCCTTCAATAGCCTCCTATTGAACTTACTATCAAACGTCAACTCCTTACCATAACTAAAATCACTATTCTTTGTCCCACCATCTATCATTGTTACTCTCCATTGCAGAACCAAAGCCACACTGGCCTAACCTTCTTTCTGTCTCTTTAAGCTAGGTTCTGCTTTGAGGGCCTCAGAACTTGCTGTTTTGTGGCTTGGAAAACCCTCCTACCGCTTTGCATAAGTAGCTCCTCTGGTCATTGATCAGGAATAAACAAACAGAACAAAGGAACAGAAGAGAACCCAGAAATAGATCCAGGCAGAAGGGAAACTCAATCTGCAGGGAAAGAAGAGATAATTAAACAAATGGTGCTGGGACAATTAGCTATCTGTTTGGGGGGAAATCAAAGTTAACATTGTTCCTTTATGTTATTTATTAAAATAATTTCCCAGTTAATTAGGATACTAAATTAAAATAAAACCAAGCAAAATCAGAGGTTTTTAGGAAGATGGTAGCAGCAGTGATTGTGGAATCTCCTTAAGTCTCTTAAAAGACCTACACAAAAAACATTAAAAACTTGGACAGATATATACCCAAGAGAACTGAAAACATACATCAATACAAAAAACTTTGTAAACAAATGTTCACTGCATTATTCACACTAGCCAAAAGGTGGAAACAACCCAAATGTTCAATGATAAACAGATAAACAAAATGTGTATATCCATACAATGGAATATCACTCAGCAATAAGTGAATGAAGCTCTGATACATGCTATGATGTGGATGAACCTTGAAAACATGCTTAGTAAAAGAAGTCAGACCACAAAAGACCATATATTGTATGACTCCATTCATATGAAACGTCCAGAATAAGTAAATCCATAGAAAAAGAAAGTAAATTAGTGGTTGCCAGGGGCTGGGTAAGTAGAAGGATGAATGGGGAATATATGTTAATGGGTATGAGGTTTCTTTTTGTGGTGAATAAAATGTTCTGGAACTATATAGAGATGATAGTTATACAACTCTATGAATATAATGAAAAAAGCACTGAACTGTATACTTTAAAATAGTGAATTTTATGATACATAAATTTTATCTTAATAAAGCCATTTAAAAGAAAAGGCTAGGACAGAAAACCAGACAACATATACAAAAAACTGACTAGGTATGTCCATGAACACTACAGTAAGAGCAAATGAGGACATGTGATTATCAGCTGTAAGACTTGCATGACATGAGTATTGGTATGGGAGTAAACAGAGGAAAGCAATGAGGCACCCAGCAGATGTGAAAATTCCAAAATAACCAAGAGGTAGCTACATAAAACATCAGCCAGCTAAGTGGAGGATAGCAGCTAAAACTGAGAAAGGCTTGCATGCTTCCTGAGTAGGTGAGCCTGGCGGTAAGGTCTCAAGAGCTGGAGAAATCTAGGTACTACAAACTCACAAATATCCTTACAACTTCCTTATGCCATAGGGCCTTCCACTGAAGAGAATCTACTGGCAATAGACTCTAAATAGGGACAATGACAATAGGACAACAGGACAGGAACAGTGGTGATGAAAAGTGAGGGGGGAGGGAGAGTGGTAGTATAAACATAGCCAGGCATCTCAGCTGCTATATGTTTTTATCAGTTTACATAAAGAACCAAAAAGAAGCTTTAGGATCATTCCTCCCTTCTAAAAGTTCAGGAAAATTCATTTTACATAAAAACGACAATAGGAATAGAGCAAAGTAAAATCCAATGCAAAGTAATAATAAAAAGAGAATAAGGAACAGAATAACATTTTACAGATAACATAAGCAAAACAGAAAGAAATGACCACAAAATACATGAAAATTGTAGTAAGTTTCAAAACAAGTAGCATTAAGAAAATGATACAAAACATCAAGCATTAATCAGAATTAGAAAATGCAGAAATAAGGTGACAGAATTCAGGAAAGAATGAGAAGTAAAATAAAAATTCATTTCACAAATGACGACGAAACTAGAAAGAACACAGAGGTAAATAATTATAACAAATAATGTCTTAAAATACATAAAAGATGAGAAAATTTCTTAAAATATAAAAAGAAATAAAGA